ACGCCAGCTCCTCCCCCTGCGCTCGGGCAAACTCTCCAAGTTCTTCCTCTGAACGATTTCCTGGTAGTGCTTCTGTTCTCTAGCTGCCAGGTTTGCCTCTGAAGCTAACACCCAACATGTCACAATGTCAGTGTGAAAATAGTCTAAAATCTCCTTTGCAAAGATTAGAAAATATTGTTTTTATTACCTAGTCCTCCGTAGATGTGGCTCGTCTCTGCCATCGTCACCTGCATATTGGGTAGCTTCTCTTCTACAGCTGTGTTCTTCTCAGCTTTCATTGCTGCCTGCCTTTTAAGCTGTTCAATCTTTTTTATGCGATGCTGCACACTCTGGCGATGAGTCTAAAAGTAGAACACAATATGTATATTCATTTAACGGTCAGGTATTTAAAGTACACAATGCAAAGCTTATTCATGAGGTTACATAGCAACTTTTGTTTACTTTTCCTGGAAAGCTACAGTTTTTTCCAGAATTTAACCTGGTGTGACACCCGACTGCCATGATCTGTCTTGTTGAGATACTGAAAGAAAGAAAGGCAATCACTGACTTGTATGGACAGGAACTTAAATGGTTGTCGAATACTGCTTCATCATAAAATGTTCAAGATTCAAAGGATGGATTTGTTTATATTCAAAATGTCTTCCTCCCAAGGGTTCGGAGCGGGTTCGGAGGCTTAAACAATGACAGGAAGCTGCATGCCACGCCACAGCAGAGCTACCTGGACATGTTGCCAGGGGAAACTGGCATGCAGACATGAAAACATGTTTCATGCTCATCTACTTTTCGAAATAAAATACTGATTGACTAATTTGATTTATTATATCATTTATTAAAATCAACCTGTTATTTTGTATCACTAACTCTTGAAACAACTTATAATAGTGTAAGAAGGGTTTAATGGATCGTAACCAGGAGAAAGTTCCTGTCATTTCTTTGTGGTCTGTTTTTTATTATACTGCCTGTTTACGCCTTGCATGACATCTGCTGCTAAATGAAGCAGAGAAAGTTCTCTGTTTACCAATTTTTTAAACATAGCTTAAAGGGATAGTGGAAATGGAACCTCAAATAGTTTCGTTTTAACTTATACAAGCATAATTACGTACCAAAACAATCACACCTGATTAAAAAATATAATAATTGCCTTACGCATGTTAGAAGCACTTTATTGCAGCTTCCCCGAAGTTTTTTAGAAACGAAATGTTTCTCAGCCTAACCGGAAGTGACGAAACTCAGGAAGACGATACGATAACAAACCATGGCGTCTATGCAGAATGAACGTGGAAGGGCAAATATACCAGACAAAGAAGAAGGATTGTACGAGGTATCCAGTGATGATAGCGAGTCAGAAACTCCTCTCGGCTTTCCTACGAAAATGTCGTTTTAGGAACTGAATCTGAATCCGGTTCAGTAAGCGACGATGGTGACAATATTGAGCCAGACGATGGACCATTACGTCCTTATTTGTTCGAGCCCGAGCCCGAGGTGATGGTTCACGGCATGGGCAATGGCGAGGATGACCAGGACCAGGCGCCAGATGATGCACCCTACGCACAAATAATCTTGACTGGTAGGTCCCTAAGCATAGCTCACGCATCTTAAGATCACCTGTAGCCTTTACAAATATTAATCATTGTTAACCAGTTAAGGCCGAAGGTCCCCCCAGTGGACCCCTCCCACAGTTTTTTCTCTCTCACATGTCTCAGGGCTTCTTAACATTTATGAAACTATTAATGTTTCATACCCTTTTAAAGGTAAGAAACTCCGCTAACTGACAATAAGAACAATTGTTAGTTAGAAAAACACAAGAGTAATACCAAGCCTTTGAATTAGCATTGAGCGAAACCATGCTAACAATGCTAACGCTTTTTTACACACACACACGGTAGAAATGCCCTTATTACTATCTTAACTGCACAAACAGATATACGATTTAAAGCTGAGACTCCACAGCATGTAATGTCATCACTGTAAGACCTCGAATTCCTGGAGCTATCAGCCAGAAAAGAGAAAGTAAACACATCCGGTTCCAAAAATATTACAATAATTACGTCTTACCTTTTTTGATTTGTGATCAAAAGTTTGTGTTCAACGGAATAAAAACGCATCTCAAGGTTAATCCAATGTCGTTGTGTCACGTATAATTTTTCTGTCGCACTACAAGCCATACAAAACACATCTATTCACCATAATAAAGGTCGGCTATTCACATGCAAATGCTATTGAATGTCCGCCATTGTTGTGCCCGTCTTCCCTGAGCTCTCGTCATCACCCGAAGATTCCCGACGATTCCCGAAGTATTTCGTTTCATTGAGAGGTAGCCAGTAAATTGAAAATAAAATGAAACTAGGCGGATGAAATTAAAAAAAATGGTTTAATATGCTTCTTTTTAATAAAAATACACAAGTTAAACCCAAAATTCGCGGATTTCCACTATCCCTTTAATTGTAAAAGCAGGAGTAAAGTAAAAATTAATTTAGTGTATATTTAACCAGTCCTCCACCTAATCCGTAATAGTTTCAAAAGATGCACAGATAAGGAGAAGATTTGGTAGCTTGCGTGATTAGTGTGTGTGTCAGCGATGACAGACACACACACATCCATCTGTACACAGGCATGGTAACAATTTTCAGTTCACTAAACATCGGATGCTGCCAAAAACAAAATACCTGCCTTGATATCAGCGACAGAGATTTGGCCAGAAAAAGCACCATAAATGCATACCTCATTGCCACTTCCTGCTGATGTGTAACTTTTTGAATATTTTTGACATATAATTACCATGAGTTATATTCAAGATACAAATCTATTCACTATCCAGTAGCACTATTCCTCAGAGAATGTTATTCAATGCTTATTTCCATAGTATTTGAGAATAAAGTAGGTCCCTGAAAGAAGCTAAACAACAGAATAAGGATATTTCAGTATCTAAAATAATCGTTACCTCCTGTTGCTCCTCAGAAAGCCGTAACATCTGGGCGTCTCTCGCCTTGTTGTTGAAGTCTTCTATCTGCATCGTCAACATCCTGTGCTCCCACTGCTGCCTGATGATCCCCTTACGGAAATCTTTATACTCCACCATGGAGGCAATCTTCTGATCTCCCTGTGTCTGTTCATAAATAAATCCATTTGACACACACAATTGTATTACTAATATATTTGACCACCACTTGAATGTGGCTCTTTCTGGCACCTTTTATCAAACAGAAAATGGTTTGTTAGTATTTAATTTATATTGTAATTAAGTGTTCCTCAAGCATTTTTGGTTATAGATCAATCCTAAGATCATAAGAGTGTTGGTGTGTGCTGGTATGTGCTGACCCTGATGGTTCTGTTGAGGTCCTCCACTACGGTCCTGTGGAGATGCACACAGTCGGTGTAGTCGGGGGTCAGCTCGGTGGTGTACACCTCCACCTGGCCCTGTTTGAGCAGCACCTGCACCATGATGTCCGTCAGGGAGCGGTTCTTCTCCTCATGCAGACTAGAAGGGAGCAGGATAACATAAACCTTATAGAGAATCATTCTCCCATAGAGAAATAGAACAAAATATACTGTATTTCCTTTTGTATTCAATATACTGTATCATTGTCTGCTACTGTTTCATGTTACACATTGTTAAAGACTTGTGGCTCAAGTGCCATCCTATCAAGTCTTCCCTAAGTGAGAAATCAAAATATAAAACTTGTCATTCTCATATACAAATTATATTTTTGTCTCCACTACATTTGCCTGACAGCTTAAAGAGCCTGTGACACGAGTTTCCCCCATCATCCAAACCCATCAATTTGAGTAAATATTGTCCCCTTGAAAACCGTTACTGAACTGATTTTGGATATTTGTACTTTGATAACCATTAATCTACCCTTCAATGTTGACCATTTTCTGGATCTTCTCGGGGATTCTTCAAGTCCCGCCAAATTATGTGTGACATCATTGCGGGCACAGCGCTCCAGCTGCATCGTTCAGGATCCCAGCATCTGCATGTAAACGCACGATGGCGCACACAGCAGCAAGCTCAGACAGCGATGACAGTTTAATGTTGAACGTGTCTGAGAGCTCATATGAGGCTGTAGGCTCGGTTTATGTTGTATCTGTTAGAAGTTTAGGAATTAATGCGTCAATATGGGCGATCATACGGTCATGTTGCCAGTGGTGGAATGGGACTAAAAATCATCCCGGGACTCTCGACCGGCCCACTTCGGTACCGCTAGTAAATTGTCAACGGGGGGAGTGGGGGATGTCAGGGGCGGCGGGTGCTGTAGATAGTAAATGTAAATATGTAAATATTTGTGTCACTGCATCCTCGTAAAATACAAATATAATGCAATGTCTGTGTCTTTGACATTAGCGCTGCTAGCCACCTGTGCCCTGTACTACGAAGCCAGTTCAACAGACCCTGGATATGTTTGAGTAACAAACTAACAACAATAACAAACTAACAAACGAGATCTTGCTAAGCGGTCCTACGACGCTGGTTATCAACTCGGTAAATCAAGCCAGGGTTTCTCTCACCAGCTGAGAGCGCGTTCACGTCTAAGACACGAGTGGATCTGACTTTAATTAGCCTACATTTGACTCGAGTTTTTCGTCAACATAATGTGTTGCTTAAAATAATACTTCTGCATACAGTATGTGACACTGTAAGTGTTGCACGGCCAGATACGGCTGGAGAAGCTGACTGAGATAAGGAAATATATGATATATTATGATATTATATGATCGATGATCTGATTGATGATGTAATATGAATGATAAGTGCGACACGTCGGCGTCTTCTCTGCATACGGCAGTTTAAACTGTATTTCCTTTATCCTGTAATATGACTTGAGAGATTTAAACTCCGCATACTGAGTTGATCTCTTTTCTATAGACACCGGAGGCGGGCAGTGTCAGGTAAAAAAAGTTATTTAGCCTTCCCAAACCTGAGCCTCACGCGCCGCCTATGGGGGATGTGCTAGTGACTTATCTGACCGGCCCACTTCGGTACCGGCCCACTTCGGTACCGGCCCATCGGGATTCGTCCCGATGGCCAGTCCGCGACTGCACCCAGCCCACGTAAACTGTCAACGGGGGGAGCCTCGCTGCGGGGAAACGGTGGACCTAGTGTCCAGATCGGAGTGGAAATAATAATAATAATAATCCGTGCATTTTATCCATTAATTTCCCCAACATTGTGGTGAAAAAACCACACGTTTAATCCATGTTGGTGTACTACAACTACAAAAAGCATCGGTTTGTTTTCTCATCAGGAAATGCAGACCGGCACAAACAAACGATTTGTAATCATCATTCTCACGATCATTTAATGTATCATATGTTCACCGAATTGACATGAAAGCACTAATACATGTAGTTTCATCCACTTGAGTTTACAACTACAAAAATAATCGATTTGTTTTTAAATCACATCCTACGGGAGGAAATTCAGCAGCTCTCACTACCGATTTTTAATCCTAATGTAATCATCATCTTCACCACTATCATTTATGTTTATGTTCGCCGAATTGACATGAAAGCACTGACAAATATGAATATACTGTAGTCAACTTCATTAAAACGTTATTAACGTGCCTAAACTCAGTAATTCACCATTTCTACGCATGACAACACACTTTGTCCGTGTTTGGCTCTCTCGCCGCAGAGTGAAGCGTTCCCGCATTGACGTCACTTCCGGCTTCCCCCAAAACTTCAAAATGAGTCGAAGGAATTTCCCCGCGATGTTCGAAATTATTGATATTTATCGGAACGGTATCGCTTTTTCTTTTTAAACTCACGGTTCGAGATTACTAGTAGCCCAATATTTCATTGCACAACAGTTGTTGGGATGCTGTCACAGGCTCTTTAAGTTGCTTTAAAAAAAAAAAAGTTAATTTCAAAACATTTCCAGTGAAAGTTATTTCAGATATTCAGCTACTTATTACTAAATCAACTCTTTTGTACCCTCTTTTGCTGATAGCATTTTACATGTAGTGCGTATTTATCAGTGTGGTATTTGTACTATACTAAAGTAGAATCTGAATACTTATTCCACCACTGGTATTTAAAACAACTACTATAATCAGAACGACTGACACCATCACAGTCATACCTTTGCAGTCCTTCAGATAGATGTTTGATTTCCTGTTGAGTGGTGTGAATCTCATCTCTCCTCTTGTGAAGGAACGCCTGCATCTCCATGGATGGCAGCTCCGCCCTGGTGATGTTCTGTGCAGTTTTCACCACCCTTTGGAAAGCCTTACGAATGAGGGCGGTGCAGCTGCCGTACCAGGCCGTGATGCAGCCGTGTCCGTGATGGACACTGAGGAACCTGAAGCTGCTGACTCTCTTTACCGTAGTCCCACTGATGGCGATGGGGGGCGTGTCCCTCTCTTTGCTGCTTCCTGCAATCCACAATCAGCTCCTTGGTTTTGCTGACGTTGAGATGGAGGTTGTTATCCTGGCACCAAGATGTCAGGTTTTCGACCTCCTGTACGCCGTCTCGTCGTCTGGGTGAGGCTGGGGAAGATGAGTGAGGGAAAGAGAGAAACAAAACAGGGGGACTAAGATGAGTGAGGGAAAGAGAGAAAAAGACAAGGGGACTAAGATGAGTGAAGGAAAGAGAGAAAAAGACAAGGGGACTAAAGTTTAAGAGAGAGGAAGAACACAGAATGTGAGTGAACAATTAAATTAAATTACACATTTAAAAAAAAATAGTGTGAGTAAGTGAAGACATCCTTACAAGGAGGACTGCCCTGTCAAATTAAAAAGTTATTCTTGTTAAATATACATATCCTGTTGAGGCTAGAATCCAAAATGCAGAACCACTTTAGATTGTAGCCTCAAGGGACTGTTTAAGGTTACTTAAAAACATATCATTTCCCAAATTGGTGAAATGAACTCCATCTCTTAGAAATATGCCAGGGCAGTTAAACTTAATGCAAGGATGCCTTACACTCTACCCAAACCACTAACACATTTACCCATCTCTCTGTTCACCCACATTCTGGCCTTGTTCAGCTTTCCCGGATTGGCTTTCCTCCAGTGACATCTCTCATTGATAGAAGATAGAATTTTCTTCATCTCTGAGAAGTTGTCACTGAGGGAAAGCAGGTCCTGCTTCATCGCTGTGACAAGCTCCACACCTTTGATGTTGCCAAGGTCGTTGCCGCCACAGTGGATGAGCAGGACATCCGGGACTGTTCTTCCTCTCAAGGACTAATAGAAAAAGGGAAGAAGGTTCCTCCACCTCAGACCACCCTTGCCAAACCACCACACACGGCAATTGAGACCCAGGTTGCTTCCCATGGTGTGTCTGGCTCTTTCTTCCCCACGTCTAACGTAGCTGCTCCCTATTATCCACACATTGGGACCTAGATAGAATAAAATATATTGAAAAAGGAAAAAAAAGTGTTTACTGGTGATCATCTTTTAGAAAAAGGTGGTACATGTAGCCTGAGTTGTCATATCATTTTCATCATATTTTTAAGACTACACAAGTTTAATTTGTATATTATATTACATATAACTCTATACTTGTATATAGAATCATGATGAAACTTTATAAGGATTAAGATTATATATTAATATTACATTAAATAATGCATGACGATTTCATGCATTATTACGAAGCAGGATGTATCAAGTCACTGACTTTTTGTGATAAGGTCACAATCAACTGATTTCACTTATCAGATGTAAAAATAAGGTACAATATATTTGTTTTTGCCATATGAAAGTAAAGGGTATGCAATCAAAAAATTACTGAAACAAAATGAATAAAAATTCTTATAAAAACTATACAGCACCTTGTCCAAGTATGGCGGGAGGCCCACTTTCCTTCAGGATTTCCTCTCTGGATGTCGATCCGGATATTTCTGCCATCTATAAATAAAGTACAAATGATTAGCTCTTCACGCCTCTTTAAAATAATATGTGTTCTTGAAGATTCTGTATGCATCGTCGTTTACAATGGTAGGGACATTGCATTGGAAATTAGTTGTGAAAAAGACATGTCATTTTTTGTTTTTTCATCTCACATTTATAGATTTTAAATAGAAATATATATATATAAAACGAATTATAAATGCAAAGTCTGGTTTCTAGAAAGTTAGCTAATGCATACAGAGTTAACATTGCAGAACTGCTGGCATGCATACATTTCTAGCATTTTGGTGCAAACTGTTGTCGGTTGTTAGCATAGACTGTATATATAAAGCGTTGTCTAGTGATGGCAGTTTGACACTGAAGCTTCGAACGGAGCTTCAACCCTGGACTTCCTATTCCATAGAAGCAGTGCTTCGAAGCTTGCTTCAAATCACGTGACATGTGACGTCCGAAGCAGCAACTGCTTCATTTACTGAATGAATCACTTGACTGGTTCACGGTCCATTCAAGCGATTCAATCAAGCGGCAAACTGGGGTAGAGCCGGGAAGCCAATACGGAAGTGCCACACACTGCAGTTCATATATTGGCCGATAGGCGATGGCTGCAGAAAGGAGCAATTTCCATAGACCCCCACGTTAAAATGCCCAACTTTACAGCAGAAAAAAACATGTTTCTACCCCTGGCTCCATACATTTTATTATCGATATAGTTAGATTCCACCTTCATGATTATGGATCTGTGAGTGAATTGTTTTCTAACGCGACCCTTTTATTTATATTAGGTCTTAAAGTTTGTGCATAAATTAGGGCGTGGTCACATTGAGTGACGGCTCTGTCAAGTGCCTGCCGCTGTTAGCTTCTTGTCTCTCTGCTAGCTGCTCCGTGAAGCTAGCTACAGGGACTCTGCCTGCTCAGCTCATCCAGGAAACACAACTTGTAGCCGGCCGTGGTTGTTTGTTCTTCATGCTTATATATCGGACTATTGTGACTCGCTCTGCGGTTAAAACAGACGGTGCATGAATGCGGTTTTGCGGTAAGTGAAATTCTAGTGCTTTATTTATGTGTTAATGATTTTAATCAGCTACGTAATGAATGGTAAGGCTTGGGTTAGCATGTAAGCTAGTGGTAGCTACATCGGTGCTAACGATTGTAATCGTAGCCTCCAAGTTAAAATCATAGACTGTATATATAAAGGTTACAACGAAATAGACAAGTGTTAAGTGGGATAATACTGTTGAACAAACGGCTTCTGTTTGAGGTTGATAAAATAAGGTTACATCCTTGTAACTTAGAGATATTTTATTATGTAGGTAGAACTGTATGCATCTAAGGTTAATTTAAATTGGCTATGCTCAAGTATGTAGACACGCTAATGTCGAAGTAGTGTATGTGAAATCAACCTCACAATAAGATGTGTGTATATTACAATTATTAATGTCATATTTCAAGATGATTACTTAGATATTACAATATGGTTGGTTGAGCTGGAGTTCATTATTGAGCTTACACGTTAACGTCACAGTCATCTGAAGAACGAACCCAAACCTTGTTGTTTTTATTAATTGCATTACCAAATGGGTATCAAATAAACAGTAAGCATTGGTAACACAACTTCCAAAGTTACAGTAAAATAAAAAGGCCCCTGACTCGGACAATACACAATCCAACATGTTCAACAGAAGAGAATCAGTTATATTGTTTGTACACATGGTACTTTACATATATATATATATGTTTGTTTAAGGTGTCCAGGTGATGCAGACAGGCTGGACCAGAGAGTGAGAGACAGAACTGGACTCCTCACAGCAGTGAACTTCAGCACAGGTACAAAGACTCTTTTTTCATACTGTACAAAGAATCAAGAAAGATATTGGTTTAAATTAGGGATGCTCCGATCGCCAATTTCGGGGCCGATCGCCGATCACCGATCGCCGGAATCAGTATCGGCCGATACCGATCGCCGATCCGATCGAGTGGGCGGGGCCTAAATGGAAGATTTAAACATCACTTTAAATCTTCCATTTAAAATGATGTTTAAAACTCAGTTAATGGGGCTCATTCACTGGAGCTTCCATAAACAACAATCAACTTAATTATTACATTCAAATGATGTACATTATTCAAGTTTACATTCACTTTGGATAATAACACGGGAGAAATTAGCGGAAGCGCTCTCTTTTCCTCTCCCTCTCTCTCTCCCCCCTCTCTCCCTCTCCTGACAGCCTGTCAGTATCTCATGCAGCTCACTGATCCAGTAATGAGTGACCCGACAATGAAGAATAAATATATTTATAATAACTAGTTTAGCTTGTTCCAGAGGTAGATACAATATCTAAGTGTGTTAGGTCTAACTCTTACTATGAGGGGCCGTACAGGCCATAATTCATACTGGTCCTCTCACGCACATACATTCTCCTTTTACATACATATATTTTCACTCTTACATACATACATTCTCCTTTTACATACATATATTTTATAATATGCATGTCTGAAGAGAATATATGTATGCAAGAGAAGAATGTATGTATGTGTGAAGACAATATATGTATGCAAGTGAAGAATGTATGTATGTGTGAAGACAATATATGTATGTGAGAGAAGAATGTATGTATGTGAGAGAGAAAGTATAGTGGAAACGGAAGGAGTATGGTTGAAACGGAAGGCAGGTCATTCTTGCGCTGTGATTGGCTCAGAAGGTCGAGCGGGGCGGGCTCATGTTCAGAACTTCTGATTCAAATCAACATAACATGATGGAGGGAGATGAATCGCGTAGATTGCAGCAAGCATTAGGTGTTTTAAGGAACATTTGGTCAACCCCTGAAACTGTCACATCCCTGGCCAGGTGTCCTTGCGGGTGCGTTCGCTTTACTTATCAGAGCGTGCCGTAAGGGCGGTTACTCTTTGGTTTATAAACTCCCGCCTGGGACGGACTGATGCATTAGATTATGTGCTATATGGAGGGGACTTTGACAGAGTATTTCTCACAAAGTACACAGTAAAAGTACTTCAATGTATTGTTAGTAGCAGTCAAACTAGTACCGAGTCCAACAGTGTCAGTTTTATGAAGAACTTGTGGTAAAATATATTTGTAAAAAGAAAATTAAGAGCTACTGATTTGAAAAAACGGCTCTCTGTATAGTTTAAATCTCCTAACAATGTTGTCCATTTATTCTTCTCCCCTCGAGTCCAACAGTGTCAGTTTTATTAAGAACTTTCAGTAAAAAATATTTGTAAAATATGAAGAGCAGCTGATTTGAAAAGACAAACGCGAGAGACGGCTGAGTGACCGCAGTGCAGAATCGCTGTATAGTTTAAATCTCCTAACAATGTTGTCCATTTTAGACACATGCTTATTATATTTACAGCCTTAATAACATTCATTTTCTGGGCTCAATGTGTGTCTTGGCCATTTTCGTTGTGATCGCTAAATTCCCCTTGTTTCCCCTTGTTTATAATTATGTTCAACGTTCCAAGCAAACGAGTGCTTTTATTTTGAAATCACTTCCGCGAGTATCGCGCCCCCCCCCCCTCGCTACAATGACCATTAGTAAGGTAAAAAGCAAAAACGCCTCGCAGACACTCTT